GGCCGAGGACATAGATACCACGCTTCTTGCCACCGGTCCTCTTAGACCATCTCCAGAAAGTGGAAGGGGCTCCGGGAAGGATTTGTTGGACTTCTTCTCGATTGGGCTTGGTCTTCCGAAGTAGCGCTCGTCGGATCTGTGAAGCGCACATCTCATTGACCACCCTGAGAGCCAGTGAGCGAAGCTCTTCTGCCAGCATCTGATTGTCGGAAACCATCGATGAGGGACAGTGGCAAAGCCACAGTTCCAGCGCCGTGAGCATTCATTGAGACCGGCTTCAACCGCAAAACGGCTGCGACCTCCGGACCGACACTATTTCATTAGCTTCCTCAATTGTTCTCTGTCCTGTCTGCTTTGCTATGGTGGAGATGCCCAAATCAAATCGAATCTATGTCAAAACTGTTGTAGTTCCATTGGAGCATGTCGCAATTCAAACTCGCATCCTTCAGACCCAAGGGGATCACAGAATGACCTAAACTTTTGGCAACTTCGCCAACCGAACCCATCCCGCTAAATGAAACTAGTCATATGAAAATTACGCAGATAACCAATCATTGTTCATCAGGCCAGAGGTAATATTTGTTGTCCTTATCCCTTGCCATCCGGTAGAGCCCAAACTCTTCTCAAGTTGTTTAATCGCGCCTTTAACTTTCAACAAACTGTTTTAGCTTGGTTTCAAAAGAGCCTGCAGGTCTGCCGACGCCCTTTTGCTCAATGGCTTTGTTGGTTTTTCTGTCTCACCATCTTTTGTTTAATCTCATCCACATCTTCCTTTATCATTTTTCATCACTCTTACTATCATTTGCACTTTTGACCAGATTTGATAGTCATGTCTTTCTTTTCTTTGTCGCGCTTTCAATTGGTGCGTCAGAAACCTGAACCGTATAAATAATAACTATATGAATGTCGAACAATATTACTTGTTACCCGCAAAGGACGTTTATAATTTGGGTGGGCCCCTATCGGTTTTCAGGTTTCGGTATCTCTTTAAAGGGTATTTTGGTGGCACCCTATCAGTCTCAGGTTTTGCTACGCATCTACAACTCTTTGGGGTATCGGTTTTGGGCGGGCCATCGCCCATGTTAGAGGGTGGGCCCCTATGGTTTTGCTGTCACATCATTTTTCAAAAAACGATGCCCAGCCGAAGACTACTGCTGGCTCACGGTAATTCTGTCGGGTACTCATATAAGTTAAGAAAACACTTTTAAGCATCAATATATATATATATATTTCTGTATGTCATTGAACTATGAGATTCAACGTGGCAGAGCACCTTTGAAACAAATGATTTCGCGCGACTGGCCGGATTTGGTGGATTGTTTGATTGATGCCCTCTTCTGTTCACCATCAAAACTAGTTGGTACACTTCTATTTCTAAATATCTTGAACAAAATGAACAACAACATACTGCTGTAAAACCTGCAAGACTGAAAGAATATGAATCCCAAGAATCCAAATATGAGGTAGCTCCAAGAATCCCATTCTCACAGATCGTTGCCGTCCTGTCTGAAAATGGAAAGACTGGCTACCTGTTAAAGATTTCGCTGGGGAACATTTTTCAATTTAGACACCAAAAGAGAAAACATCCCAGGCTTACAACACAAGATAACCAAATACCAGAAAAACAATGATTTCAGCAACTATTCAGTGTCTTAATCGCACAAAAAGGATTTTGCCGGCGATACCCGCTTTTCAAGGCACAACAGTTTGCTCATCAGAGGCAGGCGTTTCGGTTTCGACATCGTTTCATCAACACAGAAGTTCAACGGCTTACCAACCATCAGAGTTAACAAACAACTCTTCTTCCATGATTGAAGAACTCTCCGCATTGCTAGTCAAAAATCTTCTTATATATGGAAGCAAAAAGTTATATTGGAGATATATGAAAAAGCCACGGGAGAGAAGTACAGTTTTGTTTGTAAATCTGATGGAAAATAGTATCACCTATTTTTAAATAATACGATTTGGTAGGACGACTATGGTTGGTTTTAACTATATAAAATACGTTCCGTTCAGCTAACACGCTCCATTAAATCAATGAATTATGAACCATTTTTCACCGCTGGCAATTTGTAAGTGATTTAATTCACTCTTCCTGATGTATTCACTGTCAAAATCATACTCGATGACTTTGATAGATTTATCTTTTTTTGCTTCTTTCTCACTTCTTTATTGAACAGGTTACCCATTAAATAATGAAATTCAGGTTCTGATTTAGGTTTATTCTTTTGTTTCTTCAACTCCGCCATTTCCCTTTCCAGCTTTTGAAACGTTTTCCAGAGCACTGCTGTGAATCTACCATCATTTACACTCTTGCATTATCATTTACACTCTTGAACTCATTTTCTGAATTTATTGTATCTCCACATCAGGCGGTGTGACTTCTCGGTTTTCACCTGTAACAAAAAACAACCTGGTGTTTCTTTTCATCACTTTTCATACAACAATTTGCGACCTTGATCTTTTTCACTAGCTCACTGTCTCAACATCTTCAACGTTTTCTTTCAATCTTTTGTCTGGCATTTCAGTCGGGTTGGAGCAAGAGATGCCATTAGCAGTAAATAGGTCAGCCTCAAATTGGAGTTGCGTTACTGAAAAGTCATACCACAGAAGGTAGTTCCATTGTATTTGAAGGGCATGATTGGCGCTATAACTATCCAAGGCGTTGGTTTTAAATGTCGCTGACACGTTTGCGTGTCCTATTACACTTGTCTCAACATCAGTTTGAAAGCGAGTAGCAGAGTTGTCATAAAACATATGAATTCTCACAAAACATGTACTGTGTTCCGTAGTACTTCCAAACAGTCCATTTGTTCTAAACTATTGCGACTGTCAATTTTGTGTGCCCTGCTTTCCTATCACTGAATGAAATTAGCAATATTTTACAGTATGCAACATCAATATCGAATATACATATATATATATATACCAAAAGGACAATTTACATCATCTTTGTCGTAAAATGCAAAGCTGCAATAGCACATTAAATCACCATTGGTGTTGTATACGTTGCATCTGATGGACAAGAGCCAGATATATTAGTATATAGACTTATTTACATATGCCCCTGCCCCTATGCTTGTAATAGGTGGTTTGACAGCGCAGTCCTTCCGAATTCCCGTCACCTCCAGTGAAAAACATCCATTTAATAGTTCCATCAACGTTACCCCTAAAAAAGTGTTCGCTGTTGCTCTTGAATATGCAATGGTTGCTATTATCTGTCATAAGCGTCAACGCCATTGCTTTTTCATTGCCCAAGATTTATGCGCTTGAATGCCTCTAACAAGAAGATTGCCTGCTATAATATCTACTACTCTACTGCTTTCTAACAACTCATTGCTCAAAAATGTAAAATTATCACCACCATCATCAGCATGAAATTTCAGTCTCTTGTTTGCTCCATCGTCTTCTTCTCTTACATAATGTCTATCGCCAACAGTAAACCTGCTTTGGCTTAGTATACAGCAATGCTATTGCTTGTGGGTGTAACACTGCCTCCTAAATAAGAAACACCATGAACAATCGGTTCATTGCTTCCTTTTTGCGTTCCTTCTATTCACTGAACTTTCGACCAAGTCGGCGGCCGGGCAGCCTCCGCGCGGTGACCGAGAGACAGTGGGCGGCCAAGGCGCTCATCCTCATCGCTTTCCCCTTTATCGGGGAGGTCACCTACGCCACCTGACTCGCCCTCAGGCGGCAAAGAATCACCATCTTCGGGCCCCTGTCCTTCAGGGGTCTCTGCCATAGCCCTGGCAAGTCCCAAATGAAGACGACGGCAAGGGGCGGAGTCACCTGTCAAGAAATTAAATTTGGCCGCGTCTTGGATGCCTGGTATCAAAGCGATTGGCCGGTTGCGACAAATATCATCCGTCAGCCTCAACTTCAGCGCTCATCGAACTCGTGCAGGAATTTGCGCGTTAGGTAGATGCCCTTCACCATCATGGGCTTCCAGATAGCGAGCTTCTTTTCCATTGCTGGAACACCTGAAGCTCATTCTTGGCGTGGGCGTAGATTCAGCCGCGCCGTTCAGCTGGGGTTCTTGCCCTTGTTGTCCACACGCCAGTTGGAATACCCCGGAATACTATATCGAAACCAGCTGCGTCCATACGTTTGGGGGAGGGCCGAAACTGGTCATCATCGGCCGCTCCAAAAACGCACTCTGCACACTTCATCATTGCTCACAGTCTTGGCGTCGAAGAGCTTGAAGAGGTGGAGGCATGGGGAGAAGGATGATCATCCTCCCACACGCAGGACTTCCTCCAAGCCCGCGGCGTCGCCGCCATTGATGTCATGAGTCGCCTTGTCCTCGGCAAAGGGAAGCCCCAGGGGCGGTCAACGCCCGAAGCCATGGAAGCACGTGCACGGGTACAGCTCTGCGCCACAGCTGACAAAAGCATGTGCGTTTACTATGCTTGTCTCATGAAAAGGTCCTTTCCTGTGGCCATGGTCTCAATTCAAAAGCTATTAAGCTCAATTTTGTTGAAGTAAAAGAACGCAAGGCAGCGAAGTGGTGTGGATGCATACTGCTAATCTTTCACACTAACAACCACGAAGTTGTCAGGCAAAAGTTCGATTAGAAGCATCTTCCCCGCGACGGAAAATTGTAGTTTCCAGTGGCGCAGCGAAGAATCAAAGAACACGAGCCTGACATAAAGGCAAATTAACTCATACAAAAAAATGCGCATTCCCTCCTGGGCTTCTAGAACACAAGACTTGCGCACTAAGTTATTCCTTGTTCACTCACCTCCGACCTCCAAAACTAACAAAGGATCCTTCGGTCAGAGTATGCCACATGAAAGCTTGTGGCGTTCACGTTCTGCCTGTCTTTTGTCCCAGATGCGCCAGCAATTTTCATGTCTTGCGCGCACAGGCGCAAACTGTTACACAGAGGGAGGTAAAGTTTGCTGAAGTACACCGTGAACTTACTAAGCCACGCGGAACAAAAACTTGTTCTGAACATAATGTTGATTGGAATGGCAAAAGCGCTTGGCATCGCTTGCCTGCGCCAGCAGGTTCCTTGATGGATTGCTTCGTGTATATGTCTTCTGCATCTGAAGCATGTGGTGGTGCCTCGAAGAAACGGCTGCGAGTTGCGCGCTACTACCAAAAGTCCGACAGCAACGTGAGCGCCCCGACCGCTTCACCCGGGCCAGTAGGAACTGCAAACGCCTGTTCAGCCTGCGCCAACTACCCTCCCCAAAGTGAAGGGTTGCAGGTTGTTTCACCGCGCAATCCTGTGACACGATCCAACTTCATTAGTCTTGAGCCTCGGCGCCTGGCTCAAGAGCAGTTTCCCGTGATTCTGGGTTCCTTAATGGGTTAAAAAATTGCACACCTCTAACAAGGCAGTTCTGAGGTTGCAGCATGCGAGGTTTGGGCAATCCAAACAGAAAATTTTGCATTGCTTCCAACACCCGATCTGGCGTCGCTCATTGCCCAAGGCCGCAACTATATTCGCAAACAGCTCTGATAATTTCAATGGCATTTGAAAGCACCTCGCGCTGGTTCCTGCGCAACCGAACTCGTCGCCTGCGCAACAAACAGCAAGGCTGTATACTCTGCGCAGAACACATGCCTCTGGAACAAAATACTGCAAGAACCATCTCCGGTCATGGGCGCCGATGCCTGTGTCGCCCTGCAACCCCAGTGCCTTCTGGTGAGGCATGGCCAGCCTGCTTCGCAAATACCACCTTAGTGCGGTACCAGCTGACGCGTGACTGCGAGCTGCAGCCTGCAAAAAAAAACCAAGCTACCATCGCTCTCGCAAGCTTTCGGGAGAGAAGCGCTCCAAAGCTGCTTCCATCTGCACGGTTCGAAACCCAATACGCAATCATACTGACAGGAGCCACCTATTATATACGCAGCCAATCCATTCAGTTCAAGAACCTTTTATCCTAAATATGTGCGTCGGCCTTGCGGTGGTGTTAGGGTCTGTGAGCGCACTGGATCAAAAACAAAATTTTCACCCGATAGCGACAGCTGCGGGGTTCTTACTTCAAAGAAAAATGAGCTGGCTTTCGAGACAGGGTGCTGGCGCTGGCCGCGGGCGCCGGTGCTGTGAGCTGGCTGCTGAGGGATTGAAAGGTGGGCGCAGCCAGGCAAATGCAAAAGGTTGCAGTAACTTCTTCCAGAATCCGTTCGGAGCCCAACTTGCACTCCGAACTGGCGCCAAACCGCTCTTCTGGAGCTTGCTCCGGAAATTGCTCCGGCGCCCACTCCGGAACTGGCTCTGGAATCTTCCGAAGCTAGCTTCTGACCCTGCTCCGGAACTTGCTTCGGAACCTGCCCCAGAACTTGCTCCGGAAGCTGCTCCTGTTGCAGTGCCTGAGTCGATCTTTACTATATGGCAGAAGACCCTAAGCTTCGCTCTTAGGAAAACTGCTGCTTTGTTTCACGACCCGCTGCCACACTGCGTACTCACTCGATCGCGGTTTCCCACACGCCGGCCTAATAAGTAAAAACCTAAGACACCAAGTCTGACCATGAGCCTCAAACAAAACCTCCATGAGAGTCCACCAGACTCGAAGAGCTCGAAAAGCGGGCGAGAGCGACAGGATGACGGCGATCGCGCACATCTGAGCACGAAACCGGTGCGAGGGCTGAAGTTCTTGAACAACATAGGACCCACCAGCCGCACTTGAATGCCCAGGCGCGGTCAACAGCAGGTACGTTTGCACAAGCGCTGCATGATTGCCTTCGTTGGCTCTCGTCTCACGCAGGCTCCAAGAGCCCCCTGCTATTTATCAAGAAAAGCGCGAAACGAAGTCACAAATCAACGGTTTCCTGTGATTCCAAAGGGTTCAAACACACACACACACACACACTTAGATTGATGCTCGGCGCAAGAGCTACATCAGTTGACGAAGTTCCACTTTACACTCAATTAGACCTTGGCTGATGGAACGGAAAGGTGAAGAAGTCCGGAAAACAGACTTGTTTAACATCGCTCAGTCGCCCTTTATAAATGCAGGTACGCGAGTCACGCGTCCCTGACTCATATCACAGGAAACCCATGGTGTCTTCGTTGGACGCCGACCATGTAAGTCCCCGGCGTCCCCCCGCGTCTATCGTGCATGAATTCCTGACTGGTTAATTCGTCTATGCATCTTCCTTGGAAACAGGTGTGGACACACACCCAAAGCCGTCATTTCGGCGCACTGTGGGTGGAGGGGATGGGTGGAGGTCGGAAAGGGTAGGTCTCAGCGGCGGTTGGGAGGTAGGTCGGCCCTTTTGAATGGCTCGCGAGCAAGCTGCTAGGTCATGCCCTTGTTGGGCGTAGAGTTGGGCAAGATGAACAAGCCCTCGTTCAGCTGCCGAGGCCGGGTAGGTGTAGTTGCGAATGTGGTGCGCTCTGGTGGGAGCCGGCTGAAGCATGGTGGCGTTCGGTGGGATGTAGGTGATGGTGCGTTGGTTGAGGTCGACGTCAAAGCCGAGGAGGTGAATATCATCAACTGGTTCGCAGTTCGACTAGGTTGCCAAAGAAGTCCGGGTGGATGAGGGTTTGGATGCCCATGTGATCGAAGAAGGTGCGGTTGAAGGTGATGAAGCGATTGTCGACGTAGCGGTAATAGGTGAAGTAGATCTCTGTGTGGTCGGTGAGGGAATAGTGGAGCTGATGCCTGCACAGAGCTGGAGAGAGTTGGGATCCAATACCCTCCTCGTACCTGTTGAAAGTATGTAGTACATGCTTGGAAAATACAGGCGTCTAGCGCAACTTTGACAATGGTTACGACGTCGTTGGCGTCGATGGTGCGTTGTGAGGGGTGACGTCTGTGGCGTTGGCCGACATGTGATAGTTGGAGAGGATCATCTCCTGTGGCTTTGATCCGAGGTCAATGGTGAGGGTGGGAGTGTCGAAAGTGAGCTGCCATTTGGCGGTGAGGCTTTGGACGGCGTCTAGCAGCCGATCTTGCGGTCATCGTTAATGGCATAGAAGTCGATGTGATCAGGAGTGTGTTGGAGGTAGTCGTGGAAGTGACGCCAAAGCTGGGGGATGGAAAGTTGGCCTGGTGCGTGGGGCAAAAGTCTGAAAATCATAGTGTTGAGAACAGTGGATGTTCCCCAGAGCAAGGTGCTGTAATGGGACTGGAAGTAGGAAATGATGGCGCTGCCTTTCTTCCAATGTTTTTTGGCTTTGAGGTGAACCACACCGTAGGGCATGGTGAAGTTGGTGCGGAAGCCCCATTTGTATTTCTTGCGGAGCTGGCCTGGGAAGGCTTGTTGGACAAGAGCTCAAGTGTTGGTGGTGCTCTGTAGAGGTCGAAAGAGCTCAGGCGACTGCCACGCGGCGAGACAGCCGCGGAAATAGATCTGCGGACAGAAAATGCGGAGGCGTTGAAGTTCGTGATCTGAATGATGGAGAACCACTTGGTCGCCCAAAAATTGCTGGAGTTGCTTGATGGATCACGCCGTGAATCTGGATTCTTGATGTAAGTGGTGGATGCGTCGCTTCCACTGGTCGGCGGGGAAGGCCTCCGTATGTGTGGCCAATACAGGCCGTGGCGCTTGAGCCATCGGGCGATGGCCTTGTGGAAGGTTTCGAAGTATTGATGTTTGGTGGGAAAGAAAGTGCTGTTCATGTTGGCCCCCAGAAAGCGCTGCAAATGGGGCGGCAGTTGAAGGTCTTCCAACGTAACAATGAGGTGAGTGTCGCTGGGCGCGGGGTGATCAGGCTTGAGAAGGGTGGGAGCAGCTGCACGGAAGTTGATCTTCATGTCGCGGTCGCGTGAAACTTTTTTTCCCATCTTCGATGGTTGTGGAGCTTGCCGCGGAGGGTCACGCGGGCTGCTTCCCGTAGCTTGCATGTAGGAAGGTGGAAAAGTATGGCGTAGTGTTTGCGTTGATGCAGGATAGTGGCAAGCCATCGTTGCGTATTTGGTTGGGAATGGGATGGTTCTTCTAGGCTGGTGGCCATGATTGACCTGAACGTAGTCTGCGCGTGGCATCGTAGGATGCCTTGGTGAGCTTGGCGAGGTCCCGAAGTAGTTTGTGAGATGTGTACAGGATGGGTTGTCGTACTGTGTGGAGACGTCGAAAAAGGCGGGGGTGATTGGCTAGTCGGGGGTAGAGCGTGCTCGGCGGCGGCTGAATTGCAATCCGTCGGCTTTCAGCTTGAGGTGCTGGGAAATGAATGGCCAATTGGGCGTAGGTTGCCAATTGTGAGATGTGCAGGTGCTCGTGGACCATGCCTGATCATAATCGGTGGCAATGTGAATGGTGGAGTTGGGTGATGGTGCCTGTGGAGTGCCAAGGGTAGCTCAGCGGATATGGGTGTATTGTTGGCGAGTTGTTTGAGCTTGGCTCGTCGGTTGCGTTCCCGATGCGGGACGCCGATGGCTGTAGAGCCCACATAGAAGTGGCCATGTTGATGGTATTGGCGGTAAGCGTCGTAGGAGTTGAAGTGCAGTTTGAGGTACACTAAGTTGGATGAAATGAAGCGAGAGAAAGTGTAAGTATCAGGGTGGGTGGAAAGTCGCTGGAAGCGCTGGCGCTACTGGGGCGATCGGAAGATTTGGAGGCAAACGAAAAGAGTGCTGTGAGGTGAAGTAAACCCAAACTGTAGATGGCCTCGGCTCTGTCAACTTGGCTTGGTGTATGAGTGTAGCTATAGCTTTGTGGAATTTGCGAATGTTCTGAAGTGTGGTTGCTGTAGGCCCTCGCCGCGAGCTGTGGATGCAAGTCAGCAGGCCACAAAGCAGGCTCTTGACTGGGAGGCGAGTCACCTTGCTGAGTGGGATCCCGTAGCGAATGGCTGCTTCCTGTAGTTGCTTTCAGTGGCGCCGGACGATTGTAGGAGCTTCAAAATCTCAGAAGTCCTGAATGGCCTCGTCGAATTGCTTGGCCCAGTTGCCAATGTGCTGGATGGACCATTTGGTGGGGACGTCGTCTTTGGGAGCGGCTGCAAGACTTGGGCCGCACTCATCGCGTCTGGGCAGCGGATGCAGCTGAAGAGCGGGAGAGTGCTGGAACAGCGAGCGGATGACTTGTTGGGCGAGAGATCTAGTCCATGGGTTGAAGTTTGGCCCGCGCTCGCTGCAGTTCTTCGTCTTTAGTGCGTACCTGGCAAATGGCGCTGCCCTCGGCTGGGGCTGGGGCGTGCCTCCGAATGGCTTCGAGAATGCCGTCCATGAGTGGCTGCATGAAAGCCTTGGCTTCGTGGGGTTTGGCCAGCTGTTAACTGTTCCGTCCAGGTCGATGTGTTGTTCACGAAGCTAGTGGGTGAGGTGGGTCAGAAACACGGACTCGGCAATGGATCGCGTGGGTACTAGGCTGGTGTATACTTGCTGTTCGTTGGAGAGGGTCGTGGCCGGAGGTGCCATGAAATGCCAAGAGCCAGGCGAAGAGTTGGAAAACGGGCTGCCGCCACACCAACTCCCACCCCACATCGCAGGAATTTCTATCTCCTCCTCCACCCCTACCTCCTCCACTTCCTCAGGCAACGTCCCCTATGGCTGCCACACCGACCTCTCCGGCAGCCGATTTTGTCCACCACCTCGCCATACAGCTACTCCGCCACCTCCCGACATCCCCTTCGCCAGCCCACCTATCCCACCCGCCTGGCGCCAAACCGAGGACCATTGGGATGCCAATATTATTGCCACTCATCAATTTCAAAGGCATCCAACCCACCGCGTGGAGTAGAAAGCAGAACATCGCAGGGCTTCGGCCCTGAAGCGCGGATAGCATGGCTGATGGGCCCGTAGGTGGTTGCTGAAGGGACGTAGCCCGTGGTCGCTGCTTGTGTTGCCGAGGGGACGTATCCCGTGGCCGCCGCGTGCTGTTGCTGGCCAATTGGTGTTGCGCCAGCCTGTTGTTGATAACAATCATAGTTAGTAGTACTGCTCCATCGTGAATGTATCACGAGCGTCGGATAGAAATGCCTGGAAACACAACAGTTAGTGATGGGTACGCGGCTTGAGTCATGGGCGAGAGGTGAGGGAAACGGTTGAATGAGAGTGTGGGACCTGGATCTCCATGTGAAAAAGGTCTAAGAGGTCTGGGGAAATCCTCAAAAGAAACCGACGGTGAAACCGTTGAGAGTCCACACAAGCGTGTTCATGGATCGAATGCCAATGAGAAAAATGGACATCTTTTTTCCGCCGCGTCAGGTAGTGACTATGTGGCGGCGGCGTTAAGTGTTAGCACTGGCCGATGTCCAAGGGAGTCCCTTGGGTGGTGGAAGGCTCATCCGGTGTGCGCCATCGGGGTCATAGTTGGGGAGGTAGTAGACGCCCTAGCGAGCCCATGCGCGATGTGTTCGTTGATTTTGCTGCAGGTGCTGAATGGCCATGTTGGCTGTCTGATAAGTGATTTGTATTGAGACTGGTCAGCGGTGGCATCATCGGCGGCGATGGCTGTGGCGGAGCTGGGACACCTGTACGCTGAAGCGCTTGAAAGAGAGGGGGCGTAGTCTGGCCTGGACTGGTCGTGGGAGGGATGGCATCACACGATTGGGGCAGCGATGTGGGGACGTGGATGGACTGGAGCCAAAGGGGAGCCAACTCCCAAGGGCCACGAAGAATGGTGAGGATCAGCTGCAAGGAAGAATGTATATGAAATAGTTCGCGATGTAGCACAGCCTGGGCCGTCATAGGAATACCTCCATCGGTGCCAAGCCAGCAGGAGGAAGAAGTGGGGAGGGGTCAGGCGGAGTCGCAGGCGTCGAATCCGGGTAGTGCATGGCGGCGGTGGCTAAGAAACAGCTGAGGATGGGACGATGTCACCAGCCTGATAACACAAGTACGGGAAATGGGCTGGAGCCAAGGGAATCAAGGGGAATCAAAATGGAATCCAATGTGAGAAAGACAAGTTCAGTACATCGAAGTGGTATCAAATTCAAAGATGAGAGAAAAAAAGGTAGGTTCTTTTGAAATGCAGGCGTAGCATCGAAGTGGGTGAAACTAGGGATCCCGCGGATTCAGGCGAGAACGAGAACGGGAGCGGTCCAAGGTGCCACTGAGGCTCGGCGCGGGAACGATGTCCTGTCGAAGTAGCAACGGCGATGCCACGAGAGGGTCGGGTAGTAGAAGTCGTCGTCCGCGGCAGTGAGTCCATGAAGACGTCGTAAAGTCGGGGTGGACGTAGTTGTAGTCGAAGAGGATGGAGGACGGGGTGGAGGACGGGGTGGGGAAATTCGATGATCTCGAAATGAGGTAGTGCCACGTAGTTCAGCCTCCAATTGAGCGGCGTCGAAATACAAAGTGTGAATCAGCCCAAAGGTAGTCATCAACTCGTGGGTATAGTGGAGAGCGGTGTGGGTGGCTTGTGTCGCCTGCCGAATTGCAGAGTCAAGTCCGCGAAGTTGTACTTGAAGATGAGGGGAAGTAATACGTTCCATAAAGGGAGAAGATTGCCAAACGAGTGCGAAGAAGGGTGAGGGCGTGGTCCAAAAAGGCGTGCACGTGGAGAATCTCACGGTGTAGTACTGCCTGAGCCGTCATAGGGATGCCCTCCATCGGCGCCAAGCCAGCGGGTGAGGGGGACATGGCGAGAAAAGGAGGGGAGGTATTCATCGCACTATCGCACTGAGATACTAAGTTAAGTCGCAAAGATGAGGCAAAAATCTGAGTTCTCTCGGCTAGGCCACCTACGCCCGCTGTGGGCACGTACATCTCCGAGCAGGGGGAGATAAAGACAGACACCCGTTCGACGGGTCCACGGGAGGCACTCTACGGGCTCATCCCGGACTCATATGCGTACTGACTGACAGCGGTGCCACACGCCGGCCTAGGGTACCATTAAGTAAGAACCACGGATCCTGGAGGTCTTCAAAAGGAGAGGTGGCCCAAAGCGGAAGAAACCAATCGACGATCACGGGTCGAACAAGATGACGGCGGTCCGTGCACATCTGCCGAACTCATTAGCCCTTTACCAAAGGTTAAAAATTGTGCAGGTACAAGTGGTTGATCAGACCGCTCATCCACCGAAATGCCATAGCTTCGTTGGACTGGATAGGCAAATCGGCTCCAGTCCCCCTGCTGAAGAAAACAAAAACAATTCAAAAGAATCCCTGTGACTACAAGGGGCACGCACACACATTGAACTGCGTCTAAAACTCTTGTCTAGTGTCTGGCTGACAAGTTCACAATCATCAGCTTGGGGGGCATGATAAACGTAGGATGGAACAAGCCTTGCTTTAGTGAGTGGAAGAAACAATCTGATACCAGAGGACAGAAAGTCGGTCGACAAGTTTCAAATCGGATGTTCATCTGCCCGGGCCTCCATCGTTATGGACGAGTTACACTAGCATCGACCCCAGAAAGCAGCAGGAGCTTGATGGCCAGCGAACCTTGAAAGTTTATGCTGCCAGTTTTGAAGAGCGACGGGAAACAAAGGGAAACAATCAGAATCATCGCACCCATCACTGCGAGGAGGCAAAGTAAAATCGTTTCAGCCAGAACGGCATCAACAACAAAGGAGAACAAAGACAGATTACACCTGCTCTCAGCCCAGCCGCGCCCAAAAGAGCCTGGGAGACACAGGAAGACAAAAGGAAACGAAGAGCAGAATCATCTCAGCGCAGAAGGATTACGCAATTAAGGAGACAAAAGGATACAAGAGGCCGGAAATCATCTTGGCCCAAGATCGCTTCAATGCGAGAATTGGGAACCCCTCACAGCAAAGCTGCTTGGTAAATGAAGAAACATTGCAGGCGCTGAGCCAAACCTGCCAAACAAGAGCTGTACGTATATATATATACATGTTTCTTTAAACACATCGTGGATTGCGTTCAGAAATGCCTGATCTTGCGTTGGATCCAGTGTGTCCTTGGCTGCGAAAAAATAACGGCGCGGGGGCATAGACTTAGACTGTCTCCCGTCTCCTTGTAAGATTGAATTCGGCCAAGCCTCGAGAAATTGCAAGGAAATCAACCCCCAGTCAACTTTGCCTTCCTCCGTATGGTCGGCCTGACAAAACCCATTGCTTGGCCCGCAAGCTGTCTGAGCCAGCCCCTGTCTCACTGCGTGCCTCTTCTACCAAAGATTCCTCTACGCACGGGGACCAAGATCAACCAATGCAAAATTGAGACGCAGTGCTGGCAAGACTCCAAGTAGTCGTCCACCATAGGATCCCACCCAAACTCATCTAGCTCGCTGCAGTCCTATGAGAAGTCCAAGAAACACACACGCAAGCACACTTTATGCTTGCTGATTGCGGTACGTGCCTCAAGCTCGTGTTGGATCATGGCCACTGAAACGGCCAAAGCTGCTCACGCCCATGGCATGTCGCGATTTGGCCCAGAACTTGGCTGAGCCGTTTGCGCTGCTCTGTCGGTGACCATGGTAGGTGAGATGATGAAAAAGACAGTAAATGATGGCAACAACAAATATGAAAATTGGAGGAAGGTATGGGTTGAAAACCTCATCTTTCTATCTCTTCTGAGGCCACGTGCAAAAGTAAACCACACTCTGCTGCGGCGTGCTTGGCTTGGCCACAGCGCCGGCTCACGCTTACCCGATGGTGGTAAAGATTTGGCGTCCTTCCACTTGCAGTGTGGAATTGCACCTGCCAAAACAACGTTTGTCAAGTGGCACTTGAGCTTGAATACGTCACATGTCAACGAAGCGGGCAATTGTGAAAATACACGGCAATGTGGTTGAAGGCAAATCACGACTATGTGGGCGAGGTGCCTCCAAAGAGCATTTTCACTTACCATCGTGATTGCCTTTGACCTGGATGGAGGAACATTGAGAACCATCCCATCATGGACACGCCGCATGTTTAGGCACAAGGTGACCATGTTAGAAGTTTTCTGCATGCAGGTTTGCAACAAGAGTGGAACGGTGCCGTTTGTGCAAAGCGTGCAGGAGCTGACTTTTCCTTTGCTCTAACAGGAACCTCTTTGTTTTGCCAACCGTTTTGTTGTTGTACTCGGATCGCTTCGCGACGGCGTCCACCCGCGCCAGAGTTTCTCAGAGAGAGGGTAAAAGAAGTCTCCATAATCGTTTAGTTATATTTTACTTGTATTGCGCAAGCATTGTTGGATGTATCAAAAGGCTTACGCCTGACAGCCGGGCACTGGCCGACCCGAAGGTAAGAGGAAGGGGAAGAAGAACAGGAAGTAGCAGGATGGTGCGCCAGCCGGTTGTCTCCGTTTCTTTCTCGCTTTCTCTCGCTCTCCCTTTCTTTCCCTTTCCCTTTCCCTTTCCCCTTTCCCTTTCCCCTGTCCCTTCACCTTTCCCTTTCGCTTTCTCTTCCTCTTTCCCTTTCCCTTTCTCTTACCTTTTCGCTATCTCTTTCTCGTTCCCTTTCCTTTTCGCTTTCGCTTGGCCTTTCCCTTTCGTTTTCTCTTTCTCTTTCTCGCTCTCTTTCGCTTTCCTTCTTTCTTTCTCTTTCTCTTTCGGTTTCTCTGTCTCTTCCCTTTCCCTTTCTTTGTCCCTCTTTTTTTCCTTTCTTTTCCTTTCCCCTTCACTTTCTCTTCCTCTTGCTCTTGCCCTTCGGTGATGCAAATGATACGCTAAGGAAAGATTTTTAGTCGGACACACATTGTATGTGAAAGCACTGTGTTTTTCCATGCTCCTCTCCCAGACACACCTCAAGATGCAGAGTATGCATTTCCGTTTTCAAACAAGAAGGCCCGCCCTCCAGCTCAAGCTATATAGGGGGTGAACAAGCGACTGACAGCTTAATGCCTCAACACCTTCTGTGCTGGCGGATTTTCATGGTTTCGCGTGTTTTGTTTTGGGCTTTTGCAAAGACCTCCATGCGCAAGAAACTCAAGCAGCTTCACAAGGACGCGAGGCAGAGAGCCAAAGCAAGCCCTGGGAGGAATTCGTGGGTCCAGGACCCTCAGTCTTCACCTCATCCGTTGCAGGGTTTGTCATATCAAGCGCAGGAAGACATGGCAGCTTCCTGGGTTAGAAAATGTCGCGCTCGAAGCGATAGCCTTGGCAAAGCGTTCCCTCATTTGCCATGCCTTTTCCTGTCCTCTTCCTGTCCTTTTCCTGTCCCACTGAAAAGCATGATCATGAACAGAGCTGAGATCCTTTCGGATGTGGCCGTATCACGTCAAGACGGCCGCTGAGCCTTCACTTGTTTCACTGACACGCCGTGTTTTGACCCGAGTCGCTTTCGTTTTGAGCTTCGAGCAGTCAGTTGTTTTGCACTTTCTTGGAACACCGCGTGTTGCTTGATTAGTGATTAGCGTTGACAGTTGCTACCGCGCACATTCTGTCGTGTTGGTAGCGGAGCCCCGGCCATACGTGTCCACACGGCAACAGGAGCAAAACTGATCGGAGAAGGCGCTAACTGCTGCTCAGGTACAGTCTGCAGCGGCGGCTGGTTTGCTTGCTTTTCTCACGCCATTCGTTCAAAATCCCAAGGAACCTGTTTCTGGTACTTGAAGAAGATGATGGATACGGCTCATGGTCATGGCTGCAGCGCATACATCTCCAATGGTCATGGCTGCAACGCATACATCTCGAGTGTGCAGGGGCTATGGACTCGTAGAACCCACTAGCACCGCAGGAATTGCCAAACAGATGCTTCATCTTGGCCCTCTGAAACAGGTCTCGGAGTAAGAAGGCCGACGATCCTCCTCCGCCTGACGGCGATGGAGACGATAATGGCGAGGCTTCGGGTAGTGGCAGGTGGGCGGTGCAGGAGGAGTGCCGCCTCGAAACTTCAGACCGAGGACGCTCACTAACGTTCCTTTCACCCAACTGGTCTGTTACACTTCTTCAGCGTGAGAATTTACCAGCCTTCAAGATTCCGTTCACTCACCGAGGAGCGGCACTATACTCATGGCAGACAACTCCATTGTCCTCGAGACCGAAGACTTGGCTTCGCCAGCCAGGCACCGGTCAGGCGACGGAAGTCTTGACCTACCACCTCCGCAGCCAGGTGAACGCACATGGACGTTAAACAATAGATTTCGCGCAAGATGCCCACCACTCGATATGGTGGACCGGCTTGGCGCGCTGTAGGACATGTACTCAATGTACTCCGCTGGATCTACACGGGTTCATGGTCCTCCTCGCAGGCGATCCAGCGGACGAGCTTATAGTTACTGACAATGGTGACCTTTGAGCTCGACAAAGGCGCAGGAGGTCGCAACGTTTCTTTTGTCTCTCCTGCCAGCAGTGCCTCGTTTGCAATGTCTTCTAGCGGATTCTAGCGCTGTGCCCTTTGAACCCAGTTCGAATGATTTTCCCATGGGAGTATAGGGGGTTTGCTGCGGCCCTACTCGACCCTAGCAGCAACAGTCGCTCATGTTCCAGTGGCTTTCGTCCCCCATTGGAATCCAGGCATGTTCCAGATATGCAGAGCCGCCGTAATCGACGTAGGCATGAACGCCATCAATTAAGAATGCAACAAAAGCAAGCAGAAGCAAGACAGCTGAAGAGAAGAATGCTATGGAATAAAGTGCAAAGAGAACAGCGCATAGCGGAAGCAGCACACATGGATCAGCAACAACTGCCCCACATCATGGCGCCCGCTCAATCGGGCTATGTTCGGATAGGCAATGTCAAAGAGTAACCCTGAGAAACTTGAAGCACTCTGGGAGATAACCCTAGTGTCCGAGCGCGACCCTGCGGCAAGGAATGCTCGTCAAGCAGCTCCAGTTCAATGTCGTCATTGGAAGTGGGAAGGCTGGGAATTGATCCACACTGGATTCGTGGGCATTTTGCTTAACCCCGAAATGGAGCCATGCATGGCATGCTAATCAAGCCCCTAAGCACAGGTTTTCCTCAGGGCGTGTTCTATCCATTGTTTTGCCTCGGGACCCTAACCCTGAAACTCACGCGCAACCGGTCCCTTGGATTGTCACAGCTGTGTGGGCCCCGGTGTCCACCTCCACCACTGAACAACTTGATGAGTTTTGGGACGATGTCACTGCTGCCACACGACGTGAGGGTCATTTCCGACCTGTCGGCCGACTCGTGACTGCATTGAATGACGTGACACCCCATGTCTTGGCTGGCGACTTCAATGCACAATTGTATGAACCCGACGCTGAGCTGACATCGAACATCGTCGGTCGGTTTCGACCCCCTTTTCGACACATGCTGGATGAGTATGCATATATGATAAAGTTGCTTCTCCCGATGATTGGATCTTGGCGGACAGCTTTAGGGCGCCTAGTGGCAACAGACATCGCTGTACATGGCACTCCAGTATCCACCGGCAGCATTACGAACTGGATTGGATGTTGATTGCCCGCCGGCACTTGTCTCGCGTGGTCAGCATGACTGTTCGACATTCGCTGGGTCCATTGCATACTCAACACTCGGCGAAAGAGTATGTGTTTCGATTGGAACAGACCCAACGTCAAGGGTTTCGACATCATGTCCCCAAGCCCGACCTTCGGGTCCTGCGAGGCAACTCTCAGGCTGCTTGCGAGGCGAGAACCACTTTGACGAATCAGGTCCGCGAAGCCGTTGGTGCTCAACCGGATGCGGTCACCTACCCGCGTTTGCGTGCCATTGCTTCTCAGAAAGCTTTAGAAGTGTGCGGGGAAACTAGAAGGTCAGGGCGGCAACCTCGGCTTCGCACACAAGCGGCCAGTGACCTCATCTTGCCTCTCAACAATCGATGTCGGGAGTTGCGCAGACAGAAGCATGACTTGCAGGCTCGTTTGACGACCAACCCCAACAACGAGCAGCTCCTTGATGACCTTGATTCTGTGAGAACACAGCATCGTGACGCCAAACGCCAACAGCGGCAGTTGCAACGACAGCTCGAAAAAGCGAAAAAGATTACTGGGACGGTATGTTGGCCGACCACCCAACTCAAGTGGCCAACTCGTTCCAGTTTTTTCAGACATTGCGATCCCTTCCATATCGAGGCAAATCCTCTGGCATGGGCAGGCAAAACCCCTTCAGTCCAGAAGAACGGCGAGACCACTTCTCCACCATCAGCAGTGAGCCTGAATTCCTCACCCCTGACATATGCGACTTTATCGGCACCTTGCCTGTCAGTGCTGAAGTCCGTCGGTTGTCTTTGTCTCTTGATCAAGATATTACTGATGAAGAAGTCCAGACTGCGGTGAAAACCTTGAGGAGATGGTCTGCCACCCATTGTTTTGAAAACACTATTTACCGATTCCCAACTTGCCTCCCTTGTTTCGAATTTGGTACGTGAGTTGCGGCGGACACCAGCAGATCAATGGACCACTCAGGGACTGGATGGGGCCGGCCTCCAGGTTCCACTTTGGAACAAAAAGAGCCTTTCAACTCCATGGACAAGTGGCGTGGTGTGGTCCTTTTGTGGACGCTACCACGCGTCCTGGCCAAGATTGTGAATCAACACGGACAACGGTGGTTTGAGCAGACAGAGCTCCCTCCC